AAATGAAGAAATGAGAGAGATTGCAAAGATTGTATGTGCTGAAATTGAGTGATAAAAACACTAAAATCATGTAACCAACTCACACCAATGATGGTTAAAGCCTTAAAACACTAAACTAATGAAGGAATTAACACTACAACTATGCAAAACAAGACTCAAACGAGCTAACCAGCCCAAAACAGAGCTAAAATAGGTTATTTCAAAAGCAAAAACATGCTGGACTTGAGCTAAGTTAAGCTAGAAAAACATGCTAACATATGAAGCTAACTAGGCATGCAAACAAGACATGAGGAGGGGAGGCTAACCCCTCCAATTTGGACTTCAAAATAAGTTTTTGGCTACTGAAAATACTTTGAAATTCAGTAGTTCAAGGCCCAAAAAAATTTGGTTTGAAAGTGATGAATGAATAGCACAAAAGCTATACAAGCAAAGAAGCAAGAAGGGTGAAACACCCCTAACTAAAAAAAGGCTCAAACCACCACTTTTAAGACACAAAAACAGAGCTTCTTATGGTTCAAAACCAGCCTCAAAACAATTTAAAAAGATGAGAAAACAAGTATATTAAACAAGTAAACAAAGTAAGTAAACTACCTCTTGAAGCAAAGAACAACTCTAGGCACAAATCCAAGCTAAAACCACTTGCTAAAGCTCAAAACAAGTCTCAAGGAACCTCAACTCAAAGAGAAGTAACTTTGATCAAGGGAGTGTACGTAAAAGTGTAGAGAAAACTAACTACAAAGCACAAAATTGTAAGAGAGAGAGTGAAAAAGAGAGAAATTTAAAGAGAGAAGGAGAATTTTGCTCCAAAATTGCAAACCTCCCAAAATGGGAGAGGAACCCTCATATTTATAGAAAAAACACCCTCTAAGCTTGGAAACATCTCACCATACACGTGTAGGAAGATGCAGCTCAATGTGCAAACTTATTATGCTAACAACTGGCACAACTGTCAACAAATATCTGGAAAAAGGCCTTGGTAGCCGACCGGCCACACCTCTGGCCAACAACCATCATCCATGGCCGACAGCCCACGGTGGTGGCTGACAGGTCACCAAAAGGTTTTAGACTAAAAAACAACAAGAATTGGTCCAAAACCAAGCACAAAACAGATAAGGTTTCAAGGCTCAAAAGTAGGGCACTCTACCAAGAACTTCAAGCACTCAAAACAAATACATGCAATCATAATCATCGAGTGCACAAGCGATGACGTTCGAGTCTTGAGGACGGTCAAAAATGGGATGTCTACACCAGTGTTTAACACTGTATCCTTAAGACAAATTCGTCATCTTCTCGGTGCTTTTAGATTATGGACGTCTATCTCTCAGGATAAAATGATCAACAACGAACAGTAGCAGTACTACAAACTATTCGCACAACGAACACATTTTGTGTTTATACACCTTCTCATAGGAAAAATAAATGCAACAAAATGCAGAGAGCAAAGCAGAAGTAAGAACGAAAATTGAGTGCAAAATCCAAATGAGGGACTGCCTATTTATAGATGAAATAGTGGCTTTTCATAACAGGGTTCAACAGGTAAAAACCTGTTCGGAACAGTGTTGAACATATAGAAACCTGTTCGGACAGATAAAATAGGTACAGTACCTGTTCGAGTTTAAATTTGAACATATAAAACCTGTTCAGGTTTAATTTATACAGGTAGAAACCTATTCAGTAAAGAGGAATAGGTGCATTGGACCAAACGAATTAATTTTGAATTTTAAACCAAAATTCAAATTCCAAATGGTAACAATTTAATTTTAGAAAGAAAAAAAAAAATTCAAATGTTTTTTGTCCAAAAAGATAAGTATCGGGTCGAACAAGTCCAACTCAACCTCACACCACGCACCCGCGCCCAAGCTCAAGCCCCAGCCAAGTCCAAGGCCAGCCCGCCCGCCTGCCCGCTCGCCCTACCTTGGAGCCGTCCCCAAGTTGCAAACCCAAGGCTTATAAACCCACAAAAAGTTTGCTCACTAAACCAATGTGAGACAAATCTTAACTCCAACCTTTATGGAAATTCCACCGATAACACCATTTTCATAGAGCTTATTTTGGCATTAATTTTTCATTTACCCGATAATGATTTTGAGCAACTAAATATACGATGTGAATTGTTACGTGGCAAAGAATGCATTGCCATATAGACCTGCCAACTTTGACGTATGAATTCCACCTAAAAATTAGATCATTTAAAAAAAATCTATTTTTACCAAACAATTTCTTACAATTACTTTAAAGTGTCGAGTGGAAAAAATAATTAGTGATGGGTGTAATTTGTTCCGTGTAAAAATTCATAGGAAAAATTGCACCCTTAATACTTTTGTAATTATTTTTGGTCTTATGACGTGGACAGTAATTCCTCCTTTTTTCGATTGAAATCATTTGATGAAAGCATGCTTGACCCATTGGATATAGAACAGAGACAGTAAGGTAGGTAGAAATAAAAACACTGCAATCACAAAAGTTTTATTTTGAATTTTATTCTTAAAAATGAATGTGGGATGGGGTTGAGGAAAACTAGTTGGACTTGAGTTCCACCTACAATAAATATAAATTATTATTTTTTAGATAAATTATAAATATATTTTTTAAAATTTGTTTAAAATATAAATTACCTTATGTAATTTGTAAAATTAAAAATATTTCTTTATTAGAATTTTTATTTAACAAAATTAATTAAAAAAATAAAATTTTTAACTGTTCTCCTATATAATAATAAAATTATTTATATTATTAATTAAAATACATTTCTGATACTATTAAAACCATTAATTGACTTGATAATTTATTAATAAATTAAACTATATGAAATTAGAAATTTTAGGGCACATGATATGATTTCCAAAACCATAGAAGATAATTTTTATTTTAAACAAATCTCCTAAAATGTAAATATATTTACCTTTTTTTTTAGTAATTTTTAAAATTATTTTTTGACTTTGTAATATTGCTTAGGTCTCGTTTGGGAACATGTTTTTTTAGTAATTTTTTGACTTTGTGGTTAAAATATGATGTAAAAAAAACTAGTATGTTTGGGATGACTTTTTGGCTTTTTACGAAAAAATGTGTAAAAAGTAGAGAGAAAAAGTAATCTTTGATTTTTTGGTATGAATTGTTGATTTTTTAATTTTTTTTAATAACTTTTTGGCTAAACCGGTCGCTTTTCAAACGAGGCCTTAGTGGTTTGCCCCGACAATAGATATAGGGCTATTTTAGAAAGATAGTTGAAAGTCATTTTTCAACTTTTAATTCATTTTGGATCATATCATCTTTCACATTTTTTTACATATTTTTTTAAAAATAAAAAAAAATTAAAAAATTAAATTTTAACCATATTTCTAAAACAACAAATACTGGTGCATGCCCTTCCAAAAGCATTTCACTCTGGTTGATTTTGCAAATGAAATGACATCTCCATGCTTGGATGCATTTCTGATGTCCTTTCCAAAGAGAGAAAAAAGTGTACTTCTCGTGAAAAAAGATTCTATCAAACAAAAATAATTGAAAAAATATTTGGTGGCTCGAATAATTTAAATGTATTAAAATTGATGTCGTTTTATTTTTAAAATGACATCGTTTTGACATATTTAAGTCATAAATTTTTGGATCACCTAGCATTATCTGATGAAAAAAACAAACAAAAACAATTAATATAAAGAAAAAAATCACCTTTTAAAACCTAATTACATAAAAAATTTATAATTTTAATTATTAATATTTATAAAATTTATTGATTTGTAATTATTTTTTATATATACCACTGATTTGATATTTCTTCGAAAAAAATTGTATTGAATTTTCTGTCTTATTTTTTCATTTTTTTTGGTCTCTAAGATTAGAATTAGAGAGATAGATTCTACAATAAAAAACGCATTTCAAGCACAAGGACAAATAAGAGTGAGGGCTATTTTGGGTAGTTGGCTTTTAGCCACTTTTTTTGGTTTGTAGCAAAAGTTAAAAGTTGGTTTTTTTGTCTTTTTTTTCATTTGGGAAGTTGGTTTTTAACCAACGGTGAAATTATAATTTTACCTTCATGGGTCAAAATGTATTACATAGGTGAAGTTGTAAATATTTTAAATAAATGGGGATAGTTTGGTCATTTTATTATGATTAAACAAACATTAATCAAAAAAGTCAAAAGTCACTTTTTACCAACTTCCCAAATCATTTGTCTAAAAAAGCCAAAAGCTTAGCTAAAAGTCAAAAAGCCACTTTTTACCATCTTCCCAAAATAAGCCTGAGTCAAAAGATCCAATGGCTGAAAAAGGAAAAAAGAAAAAAAAGAATCGTTTATTTGGGTTATGCAATATATCATTGAAGCATTAAAATATTTTCATTCAAATCTTTAAAATTATTTATGCTAAATGTGTTTTAAAAGCTTTGATGACAAATTAATATATGTAAATTTGATATCTCTAGAAAGAACAACTCTATTTGATATGCGGAATTTATTATTTTATCATTTTTGTAATAATTTTTTTACTTTAAAATAGGGAGAGGTCAAAAATATGAAAGTTTGAGTTATAAATTTGAAATGGACCATCAAAAATAATAAAAAGAATCAAAACCTCTCAATCATGTCAAATTTGGCAAAACTGAAGTCTATACTACTTTCACATCATATTTAAGCACCTCATATGGAACATGTTTTCATACCAATTTTGTCTATTATATATAGGCTGTTTGGAAAGTTGGATTTAAGTTAAAATAGTCAATAAAAATAAAATAGGTTAAAATAGTTAATAAGACAAAATGTCACATATAAATTATAATTATTTCACTTTTTTCTCACAATCATCAAATCAATTACAAAAAAAAAAGTCAACTATCATCCCAAACATAACTTTTTTAGCTGGGCTAAAATAGTAAAAAAATTACTAAAATATCATATTCCCAAACAAAGCCATATTTGTAACTCACATATAGATTTTTGGTTGGGTGGGGTTGCTCTTAACGTCTTAGAACACATGTAATGTAGTTAACATCTTCTATTTCACCAATTCTTCTAGCTAGGGACATATGAGTCAACTACATAACAACAAAAAAACCATAAATATCATATGGTCATTGAGACTTGGATTGTATATATCCCCAACTTTAAGTAACACCATGAGAGAATTTGGAGGAGGAAGACTTGCAATACATACAAAAGCTAATTAATTTATAAACTAAGTACAAGCAAGCTATGCTAATTAAAATATACATATAAATTTCTAACTATTAAGGTTGGTAGAGCTTATCTCCACATCTGCATTTCCAAGAGAGGAGATAATAGCTATCATCTTGTCCATGAGATGAGTCTCGAACATGATGAGGAGGAATCACAAGAGTAGCCATGCAAGGTCTGCAACTCATGCACTTGTTTACACAACCAGGAGGCCTTGAACCCAACACCATTTCACTCTCCTCCATCCTCTTCCCATAACTTGACAACTGCAACCCAACTGTTAACAAAGCATAGCAATCAGAAAGTGGACACATATGCCTATATGTATGCACATACATATATATATGTATGTGTGTGTGTGTGTGGGGTAGATGCAAACGTGATGTATTTGCAATTTAACATATGAAGTTTTTTACGATTTGATAAATTAAAATGATTGGTTGAATTTGATTAGTGTTAGAAGTTATTTATGAAAAGTCAACAATATGGATATTTTTGACAATAAACACAAAACAAAATAAAAAGTAGTATAAAGTTTTGAAACTATCTGAGTTGGTACTTTATATTATAATAGAGATATATAAGTCTTAAGGGGTGTTTGGAAATTAAATTTTTTAGTAATTTTTTTTGACTTGCATAAAAGTAGTTTTTTGGCTAAAAATTAAGGCTCCTAAGCAGGAATTTGGGATGCTGCTATGCCTCATGGCTTAACAGCCTTGCTGTGAGGCTCACTGGGACCTTTTTCTAGACATTTTTTCGATTATTTGAATCGTCATGTTGTAAGGTTTGTTGAACATGTTATTCATGAAAAAAAATCAAATTAATTAGATGTCAATAGTTCAATGATCAAGTCCTCATTGTTTTTCAAAAAATTATCAAAACATGCTAATCGTTTCTTTTTTAAAAAACAAATGTAGACTTGTTATAGGGTTATAGAGATATTTAATTAAATTAATTTTTTACATAGATGATTTACTCGATGAACCTTACAATCTTAACGGTTCAAATTATTAAAATATATCCGAGAAAGGTCTTAATGAGTGTCATGGACACAACAATCCCATATTCTCGTAAACGAGGCCCACGATATCAAACCTTCCATTATTCACCATCAAAATTTGAAGAAAAGAAAATTGGAGAAATCAAAATTTGAAGTAAAAAATTGAGACAGAAGCATAATGACAATTTAATCATGAAAAAATGCATGTCACACCAATTTCAGCATTTATAATTTATTTATATCATATAATTCAGTATAAATATATGTGTGTGTTTAGAAACAATAGAGAAAGAAAACATTAGAGTCAGATATAGGAACTTGAACATCTAAATCAAAATACCCATTTATGAAATATGGATTTTAAAACATTTTGTATAAGTTTGAAGAGGCTATCAATATAGTATATTTTTTCACTGAAGAGGGTTGATTAGTTTTACCTGATTTAGAAGGTAGACATGAGAGAGTAGAAGAGAGAAGAATCACTGTGACTGCAACTTTGAGGCCATGTGGGTAGGTTTTAGCTGATGGAGCCATCACTGTCCAGAGAAGAAGAAGACTAGATTGGGTGTTTGTGAAGAAGTGTACATTTGAGAGTCACAGAGACAAGGTTTTATATGATGTTTCCATTAGAAGGGACAGTTTTTCTGTTGCCAGGACTTCTTGACCAATTAATAAATGCATCTCATCTGTGTATGAATAGAAAAAACAGAAATTCCATCTGATGTGGAGCACTTTAGTTACTATTTATAATATATTGTGATATTAATTATAATATTATTTTTGTTATTATTTAAATTTTTTTTATTATATCTTATGTAATATTTTGTTATAATTTTTTTTTTAATTATAATTTATACAAAATTAATAAATGCATCTCATCTGTGTATGAATAGAAAAAACAGAAATTCCATCTGATGTGGAGCATTTTAGTTACTATTTATAATATATTGTGATATTAATTATAATATTATTTTTGTTATTATTTAAATTTTTTTTATTATACCTTATGTAATATTTTGTTATATTTTTTTTTAATTATAATTTATACAAAATTAAATTATGATATTTGTGACGATGAAACCCACTTTGGCCTTCTTATCAGGTTTTTCGTGGACGGTATAAGTGACTAATTGTGATATTTTGCTAGCCGACACTTAAATGTTTTTTGGATCAAGATTTGTGGGGATTTGCATAGTGAAAAGAAAAGGTAAAAACATATATATTTATTTTTTCAATTCACTTTTTGTTTTTCCTTTTATTCACAAATTACTTTTTTTTTTAATTTTTTTTATTCTAATACAGCTAATTATATTTAGATCATGGATTTAAATGAGAATTTAAAAAGAAAATGAAAAAAATAAGATAAATGTGAATAAAATATAAAAAAAAAATTAAATTTTTTTTTTTTTCAAATTCTTATCCAAATTGATACTCTAAACACAACGTAAAAGTAATCATTTGTTGAAGGAATCAAATTTCTTTTTACACTCATATCATATATTAGTTTTAATGTACATTTTTTGGGGGGGATATTACAATCAAAAAAAAAAAATTTGAAAGCCTAGAGTTTGATGCTTATAATAAAATAAATTTTTAGTTTTTAATTTTATCAATTTGAATCCATCTTTTAATTTGTTTTCAATTTAAATTATTTATCTATTTTGAATAAGTAAAAGGAGAATTTTTTTTAAAGTCATTGATATTAAAATTTTATAATATAAAAGACATATAATATTTTTACAGTAGTTGGGATCCCTCAATATTTTCACAGAGAAATTTCACCCCAACATGGAGAAATTTCAATTTTCAGAGAAAAATTTCTTTATTTTTCATTGAGTTTAATAACTAAGATACAATTTTTTTTTCATTTGTTTTATTTAACAAAAATAGGCAAATAATTTTGATTAAAAATAAATCAAAAAGTTCAAGATTTAAATTGACAAAATTAAAAATTTGATTTGTTACAAAGGTCAAACCCTATAATTTTTTTTTTTTTTTTTTGTAATTTTCCCCTCTTTTTATTTTTATGATCTCTCATTTTTTTATTGTAATAATAAACCATTTGCACTTTTATTCAAATTACAACATTTCCATTAGGTTTGTGTGGTTGACGAAACTTATCATGTGAGTTATATGTAACATTTTCTTGCCTTATTAGAACCCCTATACTTTCATAAAAATCTCACTTTAGTTTTTACACTTTACCAGAATCTCACTTTGGTCTCTCCACATTTGATTTCTATCAACTTTATTGATAGGTGGATAGAAACATTACATTACAACTTGACTTAAGAATCTCACTTTGGCCTCTCCACGTTTGATTTCTATCAACTTTAATGATAGATGGACAGAAACGTAACATTACAACTTGACTTTAGAATCTCACTTTGGCTTCTTCACATTTGAATTCTATCAACTTTAATGATAGATGGACAGAAACGTAACATTATAATTTGACTTAAATCAATAGACAAAATAATCAATTCATTCTCTTCAAAGTGTTAGTTCAATTGATAATAATGTTTAAGAAGTTAGGCAATCCAATTGATAACACTGTGCCTAATTTCTTAAACCATGCCTAATTTTTTAAACGGTGCTATTAACTGAACTAACATAATATATAAATTTAAGAAACAAAATTGATATAATTAAAATTACAAGAGACAAATTATAAGGATTATAGATATAATTGACCTAATAAAATATTTGTACGAAATTCTCGTATATAAATGATGTTGAATTTTGTGCATGGTGCTTCATTTTAAATTAAAACATTCATCATTTTGGTTCAATTAAGAAATAAAAATAAAAATAAAAACCTCATTTTGAATTCAGATAAAATAAGATGGGATACATAGAATTATTGTAAATGATTATATAAAATATTAAACCAATGTCATAAAAGATCAGGCATTCATACTGAAAGTCCCTACTGTTACAAGGCATCCAAACAGGGCGTGCACTGATACAGTAATTTTGTATTACATTTATTTTGACTGAGAACTGTTTGACAGTTGAAAAATTAGAGAGGATTTAACTTTGTCAGTCAGGCTTTCTTTTTTGGACTTTTTTTTTGTTTTAAAGTCTTCAATAAAGTTCTACCCAATGCAATGCCATGTTTCAAACAGAAAAGGAAATTAACTTTTTGGGTGAATAAAAGGAAATTAACTTACTCCCTTGGGAACTGTATGCATTTTGTTTTCAATTCTCCATCAAATTTCCAAGGAACCCTGTTTTTGCTTGGCTAAAAAAAAAAAAAAATAGTTAGAATAATTTATTGATTAAAAATAAGTTTATAACAAAATTATTTTATCTGATAGATTTTTAATTTTTTTGACTTTTTTAATGATTTTATAAAATAGTTAAAGTGAATACTTTAATAAGAAATGAATTTATTAAATAATAATTTTAAATAAAATTATGATTTTTTAATTAATAAATTAACTTTTTAGATATGGTCAAACGAATCTAAAGTTGTATGTACAGTTTGTCATGGCCTTAACTCCTCATTGAAGACCACTCAAGAAAACTCTGCATGGTTGGTGAATTGTCATGGTAAATCTCATCTTTTTATAAGCAATGTTTTTCAGTGGTGCCCTATGTTGTGTGGTCTACCTCAGAAAAGTTCAATCACATTAAAATAATTGCTCGTTGTTGTGGGAGTTAAAATCAGCATTGACACGTGGCATAATGGGAATTTTGTTAGGCCACTATGGTTGAACACAACAATGATTATCACTAATTTTGATAATATTTGGGCAAATTACATGTATCTTTCTCGAGATTTATCTAAATTACATATACCTTTTGAAGTTTTAGAAATTACAGATATCCTCTTAAGGTTTATATTTTCATAACAATTTGTCTCCTAACTTATTATACAAATAGTACCTCAGGGGGATATCTGTAATTTCTCAAATCTCAGGAGATATCTGTAATTTTGTTAAATCTCAGAGGGTATATGTAATTTGCCCTTGATATTTTAATGGAACACTAATAATATGATAAGAAGAAGAAAAAAAAACAAAAAACAAATTAAGATCAAAGTATCACATCACAATAAGGAGGCAACTGCCAACTCATTAAAACTAACTTTAAAACTCAAAAATTAAAGTTTCAAAATATTTCAATTGAGATGGTCATCAGTCCGATGGTCCATCCCATTCAACTTAATATTTTTAGAGCATGAAAAAACTATTTAGGTTTGATTTTGAAATGTGGGTTGTTTTTTGACTTTTTTAGTTATTTTAGTTGGGGGTTAACAAATTTGATTTGAGAAAGATTTTTGATTTTTTTGATTTTTTTGTGAAAGAATAAGGTAATGATTATAAATTAGATGTGATATTTTGTCTTATTGAGACTAAAAAATCTATTTTATTTTTTGTGATTATTTTAGTTTCAAACCCACCCAAACCCACTTCCCAAACTGCGGCTTAATCTATAAAGTTAAGTTGGAAATATTTTTAAATTCATTTAATTTTCAACCTAGGCTTGAGATATGCAGTATTAGCCTAGCTTGGCCCGACTATTTAGAAATTATTAATTTTTATATTACGAAATAAGTTATAAAAATAATAAATAATAAACAAAAATACATACATATATATATATATATACTTCTTTTTATAATTTAAACTAAAACACTTCTTAAAAGATTATATTTATTTCGTAATTGAATTTTTTTAATATTTTAAATTTAAATAATTATCAAAAGGATTTAAATAATTTAATAGCCTTTCAAGATGAAAAATCAAAAATTTAATAGTTCATATTAATTGAGTTGAGTTGAGTTGAGTTAAGTGGGCGAGTTTGGAATTTTGGCATTATTTTAGCGCCAGGCTTGAGATGGGTAGGTTATGCCTGATGGTGAGTCGGATTAAGTTTAGAATGACACACATATTTTTACTAAGCTAGTGGTTGGGCACGTGCGTTGCACATGGCATGTTAGAATAATTCGTCTTGAATTCTTCAGTTAGTGGTCTTTGGGTCTTAAAAACTTGGCGATGATCTTATCTATGTTAAACAGAAATTTAGTACTTTAAGCCACGTTACTTAGTCGCTTTCTTAAAGACAATATTTGCACCCACCAAAAGGTGTTCAGAGGGTTACAGCAAATTCGTCTCTAGGATATAATAAAGCCTGATCTAAAGATCAAATCTACCGACGTCTGCACTAATGACAGCAGATCAGAATACTCTTGATATAATCAAGAAAACCAAGACACTGATAATCAAGTCTAAAGAATTTGATTACCAATGAGAAAAGCATAAACTTGCTTAAGAAACTCTTGATCGAAAACTCTAAATCGAGAGAGAGAGAGAGAGAGAGAGAGAGAGAGAGAGAATTGCAAGTATGATTTCTGGATTTTAGATGGATTGAAATGGCTGATTTTGTAGCCTATTTATAGGCCTTGATGCATTTGATCAAATGGTCATGTCCCTTGATCGCATCTGATCAGATCTAACCGTTGGATCAACGATCTATGGTGCAGATCATTCTCACACCGAATGGATGCATTGACTAATCACACCTGATCACGATTGGGTGCCATCTCATTTGTACAATCGTGTGCATCTCCAATCAACGGCTATAATCAAACTG